ATTTAGGTAAGTTGTCCCAGTCATATGAGACAGATTTTCAACTGGGACTGGGACAACAAACAACTGAAACATGTCTAGGTAAGTTGTCCCAATCACATAAGGCAGATTTTCAACTGGGACAACAAACAGTTGAAACATGTCTAGGTAAGTTGTCCCAGTCACATAAGGCAGATTTTCAACTGGGACTGGGACAACAAACAGCTGGAGCATGTTTAGTTAGGTTGTCTCAGCCACGAAAGGCACATTTTCCAGTTGAGGGACAACAATCAGCTGGAGCATGTTTAGGTAAGTTGTTCCAGTCACACAAGGCAGATATTTCAGTTGAGGGACAACAAACAGCTGGGACACATGCGGGTTTTATGACCCTGAAATATGGACATTATGCCAATCTACCTGACCAATAACGTGGAATGTAGCCTCGTCTGAAAACAAAAACTTCTGTCAGGTATTTATTATCCTTATCTATCCGATATAGGATTTCGACTGCAAAATTCGTGCGCCTTTGTCCATCATCTGGTTTGAGGGCCTACAGTAATTGCACTTTGTAGGCATGCAAACGAAGTTGCTTGTGTAGAATTTTAGCAAGTTAAGTTCAAGGGATGCTTCGACGAACGGACTTCTTTGTGTTTCTAAGAAATTTCTCTTGAACACGATCAACTGTTGCATCAGATGCACTTGGATGTCCCGCTCCTTTTGTTGTAACGCACTACCAGTTGCTAAAAAAATTCAAACCAAGTTCTTATGGTTGATGTGTCTTTTTCATAAATGCATCGGAAATTTCGTTGCACTGACACGATTGATTTGGATTCAGTAAACTAAATAATTCGTTTTTACACTTTTTTCTAGCAACACTTGTAGAATGGATCTGCAATAGAGAGGAGGGAAAAAAACTTTATGAGTTGTTGATGAAGTTAAATAAAACCGAAGTGTTCTATCTATAGTATTTTTGAAGTTTTTAAGATGGGTAAGATAATTTATAGACACCCTGTTTATTGACAGACAAGAAAGAATGACGTGTTAAATTTATCAGTAACATATTGGCAGATCAAATGTTTAGATTACGCTCAATGCAAATGAAGATCATTAAGGCCTTTTTACACACCAACAAAATTATTTTGACAAACTCTTAGTTTAATCTTACGTTTAGATCAGTCACAAAGAAGGGATGTCTAGTTATAAGTACAGAGTAGAATTATTTTTAATGTTAACCATTTAAAATATTAAAGTGTTTTATTTCAGTGCAAATTTGGAAGTTTGGCATTAGCTTTTAAAACAGACAAGTTGACTCTGAGCAAAAGGCTAGACCTACAGCAGCGACAGAGAGACACAGCTGAGAAGAATGTAGAAAGTGAAATCAAAGCACTGAAAGAATCTTTAAATGTAAGCTATCATTATGGATATTGACTTGCAGAAAACACTTATAATTAATATAATAGGAATTTCATTTTTAGAAGAGTGATTTATATTGTAGTACTTTTTTTAATTCTCTTATATAAGAGAAAGTTTTAAAATATTACACTTACAAAAAACAAAAGGAAATGTGTAGAATGCACTGATTATGCACAATTTACTTATCAATACTATTATAGGCTGAAGTTATAGTGTATAGGTAACATATCAATGTATGCAGATCCCGTAAGAAATATCACTATCGCAAATTGATCGAAATTAGTTAAGTAAAAATATTCCATTGGTTATAAGTACGTTTATAAGTTGAATATAATTAATTACTCCTTATTGTGAATGTCTACTGTTTTTCATTATTATAAAAGTAAGGGCTTCTGGTTGTCATTATTGTTGCAGTTATTTACCTTTTACAGCATGGAATTCTACTGTTATGATTATGTAAAGTCTGTATGTGAAAAATACCACTATTGTGATGGTTAATACATTAATCTCAGATATTATACGAATCTATTATATTTATGACATTAAATTCTTCTAGTTAAGTAAATGTGTTAAATTACTGGTTTAATTTTTAGTTCTTATCTATTTAGGAAGCTTTCTCTGATCATAATTTTATTATAATAAAGGACGTACTTTACTATAATCGTCTGGAATCCATATATTTATATTTTTTATATTTGTATGAAGTGTTTATCGTTGTATATAATGGACTTGTATTTTATAATTGCTTAAACTCTCTATATGACTGCTTGCTCTTTGTTATGACTGTTTCAATTCTTTATGTTGTATTTAACGGATTTCTGTTTGTTATGGTTGTTTAAAGTCTTTATGTTGTGTTTAATGAATTTCTGTTTGTTATGATTGTTTAAAGTCTTTATGTTGTATTTAATGGATTTCTGATTGTTATGATTGTTTAAATGTCTTTATCTTGAATCTAATGGATTTGTGTTTCTTATGATTGTTTAAAGTCTTTATGTTAAGTCTAATGGATTTGTGTTTCTTATGATTGTTTAAAGTCTTTATCTTGTATTTAATGGATTTCTGTTTGTTATGACTGTTTAAAGTCGTTATGTTGTATTTAATGGATTTCTGATTGTTATGATTGTTTAAAGTCTTTATGTTGTATTTAATGGACTTCTGATTGTTATGATTGTTTAAAGTCTTTATGTTGAAGCTGGTGGATTTCTGTTTGTTATGATTGTTTAAAGTCTTTATGTTGTATTTAATAGATTTCTGATTGTTATGGTTATTTAAAGTCTTTATGTTGAATCTGATGGCTTTCTGTTTGTTATGATTATTTAAAGTCTTCATGTTGAATCTGATGGATTTCTTACTTATGATTATTTAAAGTCTTTATGTTGAATCTGGTGGATTTCTGTTTGTTATGGTTGTTTAAAGTCTTTATGTTGTATTTAATGGATTTCTGATTGTTATGATTATTTAAAGTCTTTATGTTGAATCTGATGGATTTCTGTTTGTTATGATTATTTAAAATCTTTATGTTGAATCTGGTGGATTTCTGTTTGTTATGATTATTTAAAATCTTTATGTTGAATCTGGTGGATTTCTTACTTATAATTCTCTAAAGTCTCTATATAACTGACTGCTCTTCATTATGACTGTTTAAGGTCTATTTATTATAACTAATGAATTTCTGTTTGTTGTAACTGTGTAAAGTCTTTATGTTGAAGACCCGGCATCACCAGGTGGTTAGGGCACTCGACTTGCATTCTGAGGGTCGCGGGTTCGAATCCCCGTCCCACCAAATATGCTTGCCCTTTCAGCCGTGGGGGCGTTATAATATGACGGTCAAGCCCACTATTCGTTAGTAAAAGAGTAGCCCAAGAGCTGGCGGTTGGTGGTGGTGACTAGCTGCCTTCCTTTCGGTCTTACACTGACAAATTTGGGATGGTTATTGCAGATAGCCCTCCTGTAGGTATGCGCAAAATTCAAGCCAAACAAAACAACTTTATATTGAATCTAATGGATTTCTGTTTTTGTTATGACTGTGTTTAGTCTTTAAGTTAAAACTAACGCATTAGATCTTTATACCACATATTATATTTTTACTTTTTCTTTTGGTGAAAAGGAAGGATCTGTAATATAATCATTAAACCGTTGGTCCACTGTATAATATCAAATGATAAATATATATTATCACACACCTCAATTAACTTAAGTTGCTATGTAGTGAGTTAAAAAGAACTAAAAACCAATGAATATTATACACATATCATCATTAATATAAATCTTTGGTTTGCTGACCCAAGCTGTACTGAGTAGCCTGGAATAGGCGAAACAGCCGTCACCAGCAGAGGGTGTGGGGAAATAAAAGAATGCATTAGGCGTCTACATCAAATATTATATTTTCAGTTTATCTTCCGTGAAATGAAAAGTAATGTGTAGTATAATATTGCATTTCTGATTGTAATGACTCACTGGTGTCTATGTCGAACCTCATAAATTTCTTTTGTTATGTTTGCTTGAAGACTCTAAATCATCAAAGTATTAGTCAGCAAGTGAGAGAATTGATTACAAAGATTCAACAACAAGTAGACGTTCTACAGCAGTCTACCTCCAGAGTATCTAGCCGAGCTGAAGTCTACGGTGCTGTACAGCAGGTATTGTTTTAACACCGGTCGTTGAATTACAATACTCGACCTAAGATATGTGATACAGTTTAGTTTAAGGCAGACGTTCTAATTGCAGCCAGTACCAGGGTATCCTGATCTTTTGAACCTTTCTGGAACTTTTGTTTTAACAGAACTATGCCACGTGTACTATTTGGCGAAAGACAGACATACAATAAAATGTGTCATATCTAGCTTTTAATGTAAGATAGATGTCAAATAAGATATGTCACATCCAACTGTTAGCGTAAGATAAATGTCAAATAAAATAGTCACCTATAACTGTTAGCGTAAGATAAATGTCAAATAAGATATGTAACCCATAACTGTTAGCGTAAAATATAGGTCAAATAAAATATGTCACATCTAACTGTTAGCGTAAGATAAATGCCAAGTATGATATGTCACCATGGGCGCTCGCAGGAAGGTACAAGGGGGTCACTTGACCCCCTGGATTTTCAAGAAGAAAAAAATTACTAGATATGTAAAATTCTTCTTCTATGTTATTGGAAAATCATAAGGTATTTGTATTTCGATTTCATAATTTTTTCAAAGTTGAGTTACTTGAACCCTCCTAATTTTATTTCTGCGAGCGCCCTTGTATGTCACCTATAACTGTTAGCGTTAGATAAATGTCAAATAAGATATGTCACATTTAACTGTTAGCGTAAGATAAATGTCAAATAAAATATGTCACATTAAACTGTTAGCGTACGATAACGTTCATTGAGATATGCTATGTTTAACATTACACCCTGCTACTCTGATTTCTCATCCTTCCTATGATAGGAAGAGAAAATGAGTCGAGCATTCGATGTTATGGTCATGTACGTAGAAAACGTAAAGCGACTTTATGAAAAAGAGCACAACGAGCTGGAAGAGGTTCGACGCTTGATGACAGAAAATCGTACCACTGGAGAAGAGAGCAAAGTACAACGACCAATCCGTTCCTCGACTGTGGCTGGTGTCCCGAAGCCTGTAAGTTTCTTACCCGACTAAACTGTTTTATTCTGTTAGATATCACGATAGTAAATAACTACAAATGTTTTACAAAAGTTCAATTACTAGTCTAATTCAACTGTGTTTAAATATACCGAGTACAGCATTCTCTGAGGTAGGGTTAGTACCCAAGAACAAATAATCTTCTGTGAAGTAGTCTTGTCAATGTCTATCACTATAAAACAGATATTATTCTGTGAAGTAGTCCTTTTCAATGTCTATAATTACAAAACAGATATTATTCTGTAAAGTAGTCTTGTCAATGTCTATAATTACAAAACAGATATTATTCTGTAAAGTAGTGTTACGTCTCCGTTTGTTAATTAACTTTCCGTAACTTCGTTCCGACGAAACTTTAGCGACACAAGTCCTTGCTTAATAAAACTGGTTTATTCTTTCCGAATATAACTTTACGATACACTTAATTTCAACAATCGCGCTAAAACAAACGCTATAACAACGAACGTGCTCAATAATACTCCCTGACTGCAGATCAATTACTCACTGTCTACACACACATTATTCTTGTCTCGTCACGTTGTCACCTCTTTTATATACCAGACTACCCTATATCTAGTAAATGCTAGAGCATTCGCCAAGGTACAGGATAGTTCTAAAAACGTGGCGTGACACTAGTCATGTGACCTCGCTGACGCAACAGTAGTCTTGTAATAATATCTGTTTTGTAATTATAGACATTGACAAGAACTACTTTACAGAATAATATCTGTTTTGTAATTATAGACATTGAAAAGGACTACTTTACAGAATAATATCTGTTTTGTAATTATAGACATTGCTGTAAAGTAGTCCTTTTCAATGTCTATAATTACAAAACAGATATTATTCTGTAAAGTAGTCCTTTTCAATGTCTATAATTACAAAACAGATAATAAGCCGTCTCCAGCCATTATTATTCTGTAAAGTAGTTCTTGTCAATGCCTATTATTACAAAACAAATATTATTCTGTAAAGTAGTCCTTTTCAATGTCTATAATTACAAAACAGATATTATTCTGTAAAGTAGTTCTTGTCAATGTCTATAATTACAAAACAGATATTATTCTGTAAAATAGTTTTGTCAATGTCTGTCGCTACAAAACAAACTTTATTCTATAAAATAGTCTTGTTAATGTCTATAACAACAAAATAAACAATCTTCTGAAAAGTAGCCTTTTCAATGTTTATAATTATAAAATAGACATTATTCTGTAAAGTAGTATTTTCAACGTCTATCACTACAAAACAAACACTCTTCCCAAGTAATACGGTGACGACGGTGATTTCGGTTTGCAGATAGCCCTTCTTTCAAATAACCTAGTTTGGTCAGTCTCCTATTCATTGTCATGTAATTCCTGTCATAAGGTGTTGCAAGATTTCTTTCGACTTTGACGTGTTAACCTGATCAAAACAAGATCACCTCAGGCGGTAGTTTTCGGCGTCTATTTGTAACTTTCCTGAAACAAACTTTCCTGTAGTACGATGACGTTTCAGGATTCTGAATACAGAACACTGGGGGTACCCTACTGTTCTGGCAATGTCCGTTTGTTTCATACCATTTCTGTAAAGTCGAACAATTTGACACCCTATAACTTCTGGCACGTGACGAGGCATAACTCTGCACCAAGTGCAGAGAAATTGTCTGAACAAAGCGTTGATCTGTTTCGTAAAATATTTTTACAAAACAGGTCTGTATGTATGTTTTGGCGAACAAATGCTCAAAACAACTTTTGTAGACTAGAATAACAACTTGTACACGTTTGTCTGATCATACGCTTCCCTCTCTGTTACCACTCGGGCATTTACTGAATAAATACTCCATGTTTGTAGACAATAACGTCAATATAGAATAGTACGAAAACATTTTAGCCAAGACTGTACATGTCCAAACCATCTCAGTCTTGCTTTTCTTGTAACTTACAGACTCCAACACAACATATACACGCGTATATAGGAGTGTTCCATCAAAAACATTTGTTACATTTTATTACTTTTAATCAGTCAAGCTAACTGACAATAAAGAATACTTCGGAAAACATGAACTTTTCTAAAAACATTGATGTACACATTTTATACTTCTGTATTTACTAAATACTTAGGAAACACAATTATAATGTAGTTGTTTTATTTTTATAGTATTTGAAAATTCGATAGCCACAAACACTGTCGGATTGAAAACTTTATGAAGCTATGTATGTATCTAAAAAGTGAAAGCCATTTTCCACCCCTAAAACCATAAAAAATTCCATCAACCTGGAGGTGTTGACAAAGCTTTCACTGTACCTCTCAGCTGATAATGTTATTGGATTAGGTTACGCGCTATAAGCATATATGTTTTAATTTTACATCTCCTAACAATGAACTAAATACTGTACCTTTCAGCTGATAATGGTATTGGGTTTGGTTACCCGCTATAAGCTTATATGTTTTCATTTAACACTCTGGCAGTATGTGTGCATCTGTAGTAACAAACTCAAATGTCTATCGACTCTATTAAAACGTTTCTTAAAAGGGTAACGGTTTAAGAACACCAGTTTGCTGACTGTTATAAGATGAATATTGTATTTATTCAATAAATGATTCTTCATGTGCATAATTATATGTTGTTTTGTCTTTTTCAGGTATGAATATATATCTTACAAAAACAGAAGAGCGGTAAACTTAAACGTTGTTTAGAAAGTTTGAACATGATTTTTGTAACTGCTGGATGTCACGTGACCATATTCTCAAGACGTGAACTTTCAAACTACTGATATTTCATTTACCCCTTATCTAACAAATAAAAGATAAAGTTATTGCACTTAGCTCTACCATTGTGCAAATTAGCGTACTGTAGTACATAGTGGAAATATACAGGGTTTGAATACACTACCTTAAAACGGTTTTGGAATCTCACCACATCGTTATAATCCATGTCGCCACGCTGCATCTGACGACTGTGCATCTTAACAATATTCCAGAAGAATAGTTTCCAGTACAAAATGTTCTTTTGTAATGTTATCATGTTGTATCACACCCCTCCTCGCTGCATGCTTTTCATAATCTGTCTAATGTACGAAGATGAAAGTTTCCCGACAACCATTTTAAAAGAATGATCACATAGAAATCCATAGGTGCTGCTTTTGGTGACTTGACTGGTACTTCTTCTTCATTAATACCCATTTCATTTTCCAACTGCTCGAGGTATGCAACGTTTGAACAAATAAGGAGTGGAAACAGCTTGTGTACACATGACATGTCGCTTTTCCAGACGGACACCCTTCGTGATTGCGTTCCATACTGCTGTCTCAAACACGTGGACCGCTTTTGCCACTGTCCTTTATGGTCGTGAATTCTCATCAATTACTAAACGCCAAATTTTGTTTACCACCGCTTGGGTACGACTTCTTGCAGGTTTCTTTTTGGATGGTTTTAGTGTTTCAAGTTGATCCACATTTTTGTTTTCTAATGTCATTAGTTAAAAGGGACATTTCGGTCTAGGATTTTATAAATCCCCGATCTGAACACGTCTTGATGATCTAAGTGTAGAAATATTTTACGTCGGAACTTCTCAAAGTGTCCAGTTTTCGGTGGCATTACACTACCTACGTTACACCAAAAATGTGTGATACACGACATTCTCTCGCCATTTCACGTCGACTGTGCATATTTAAAATCGCTTTAACATAACGTACTCAACCCTCTGTATGCTAACCACAAGTGCTTGTTTCTAACAGAAACTTTCTACGATTATTCTAACGTAACTCAAAGCTCTGGAAGGTTTTGTTTTTCAAACTATAGCTTTTTGTTTACTTTTAATTTCATTCTGATATCACAAATAGTACAGTATTAATTTTAAAATTACCGAAAATGTAATTACTTCTAAAAGTTTGTAACTGTAGAATGTTCGTTTGGTTTCAAATGTTAATTGTTTTAGCCATGTTGAAATCAAATTGCATTAAAACTAGGTATACCGGGTGGTCAAAACTTATTTTTCCTATTTTAAAATTTAATAATTAGATAACTAAGAAAAGCAACCATGTAGTTTTCAACATCTCGTCGACCAACTCAAGCAGTTTTCATTGTCATGTTTTGTTTTGTTTTCACTCCACTGAGTAGTGTTACCCCGTAAAATGTCACCCTGCAAGTAAAGGCTGAATGCATCGTTTGGTCAGTGACTGAGGTCCAGCATAATTAAAGACATCAGTGTAGGAAAGAAGTATGGGGGTATATTATGAGCTGAAATCAAATATCGGTTAGACATGCTGAGAGCCACTAATGGTGCACACGTATAAATCTTCTGATATGTAAATAAAAACTTTTTGAGTTAAGCTACAATTTGTTGAAAACTGCATGGTTGTATTTCCTTAGTTATTCAATTATTAAATTTTAAAATAGTAGAGATCTGTATATTTATATAAAACCAAATTGTTAAGGGTATTGAATGATGACTAAAGTTTTGTAAATGTCACCAGAATGTATTTGTTTAACATGTTTACGCTTTCGTACGACACCAATAATGATGCATTATATATTTTGTGCGTGTGACTCGTAGAGTGTGTTCATTTACTTTATAACAATATCTTTTCAGGCACCTTTTAAAATTCTGTTTTCAAAATGTTTACAAATAAGAGGGGAAATCGATAATTCGTCGTATGAAAATTTTAAAAAAATATTTAGAAAACTGAAACAACGTTTTTGGTATTATTGTTATAAAACATAGGCTCGTCACATTTGTTAGCCACCTGCTGACACGAGACATAACAGTAGAATAGGTGGATAATCTGAGGGTAAGTATGAGTTACTGCAGAGCATTAAACAAACACACTTGAAATATAACAACATAATATTTAGTAAGATATAAAATTATTTAAGGATTTAAATTATTATTGTTGATATTCAGGATCGAAATTGTTAGGCTGTGATGTGAATGTTATTTTATATAGTCCACTGAATTCTCAATATAGTAGATTTAGTTTTATATTATTTTAGAATAAAGGACATTTTGTGAACATACAAGTGCGTTACATCTGATATTGTAATGGAATTGAATGATTCATCAGTAAGACGATGTTGATCAGTTTGAACATACTCTTCTTCTTCTTGTAAGTTCTCATCAAATATTTAACAATTTCTCGTGACAATCTCTATAGTGAAGTACTACATTAACCAGAATCTATATTAACACTCGAAGTTTGAGAACATTTACAATATGTATATTTTATAAGTAGAAATTCCTGTCATGCATTGAACAAACACCAAAAAAGGAGTTTACTTATAGAAAAGGCTTAGCTACATGATGAAAAAACGTTTAAGAGCAGTCTCCCAGTTACCATGAATAACATTTTTTTTCAATAATGAAAAACGATTTCTAGTCCCAACGAAATTTGCTTTGGAATCGAACTTAAACATATATCAGAAATATATATATATATATATATATATATATCTGTTAGTAGCTCACTTGGAAGAGCTACGGAACTAAAGGAATGGACTTCAATTGGAACAGCAGCCTCGTCTGTAGTCAGCATTACTCAACCCGATTCACACTCGGATTGTTGTCGGAGGACAGGAGGCTTGTGACATCATAGCTAAATTTATTACATACCGTGCTACAATAATGGTTTCATAAGGGGCCGCCAGATAGCTCAATAATAGTTCCTTGTAAACGAACTAGAGGGCAAAGTGACAGTCCCATATCATGGATACGGCTGGAATTTATTTTATTGATATTTTGGGATTTGATTTATTTTATCTATTTGATTATAAATAGATGATAAAATGATGATGTACTTCTTCAATCAAACATAAAAACGAGTTAACGTGATTAGTACCATAATTATTGTTGAATAATTCACTCATTGGGAAGTGGCTCATTGTATGATTAGAAAAATAAGCCATATTGAACTTATTCTGAAACATTTTTACAACATCGTCATTATATTTATCAGAATTTTATTGTTAAGTTTCTATGAAGTAATTTTATTTAAATATCTATTTGTACACAAATAAGAGAGGGCGTGGCTAGTGTTTAGTATGCTAGGCTGTGAATTGGGAGGTCTAAGGTTTGAGTTTCAACATGTCACTGACACGTTCAACAATTTCATCTGTAATACTGCTGTTTATTTAAGTGAAGATGTGTATTCAGCGGATGTTGTTTCAGATTTTCATCTTTCTCACCAGCAGTTCTAAATTAGGAACCTCTGTTTTGTTTTTTAAGTGAGAGAAGCCAGTAACAGTGAGCCACCGCTAAGAAGCCCAGGTAATTACTAAGACATTTTCCAGGTTATGACAGAAGGAAAGTTGATAGTCTAAGTGAGAAATATTCATTCGAGCATGAACTTGGAAACCTGTCACATTCTAGCTTCATCAATTGAATAATAAACTCCCATTTTCTATCAGAATAGATATAAGCACTAGATAAGTAATGGCCAACACTGCTACACTAACATAAATTACAGGTGGGAGAGAGAGCCTGGTAACTTGCGTCAATCTAACATAAATTACAGGTAGGAGAGAGCCTGGTAACTTGAGTCAATCTAACATAAATTACAGGTAGGAGAGAGCCTGGTAACTTGAGTCAATCTAACATAAATTACAGGTAGGAGAGAGCCTGGTAACTTGAGTCAATCTAACATAAATTACAGGTAGGAGAGAGCCTGGTAACTTATAACTGGAACTTATAATATTTCAGCTATGACACGATCACTATAATAGGCCATTGCCATTGACCATACCCTCTCGGTTCAAGTGGTGCAGGTCAAGGGGGAAATAATTAACACAGTTTTTCTAAAAACCGATATATCATCAGTCATATAGACATATTACGCATTCTATTGTGAGTGTTTTGACACATTTTCCACATGTTACCCATTTTGTAAACATACAACTTTAATTTTATTCTTTGGAGATTAAATTTATCTTTATCTTTTTTGAAGAACGAGAAATGAATAGATTGGTCAGTCATACTAAAAGATAAATTGAGTAGAAATTTGATGCCTTTTTTTACAGATAAAATTCTAGGCACTAGCTTGCTAAAATTGGAATTTGTTAGCGGTTACCCTATTAAATGCCATTAGTATTAAGGAGTTTTGTTTCTTTGTTTAAGGCTTTTCACACAAAACTACTCAAACGGCTATCAGCGCATAGTGTTCAGCGAGCGGTAGTGACGGTAATATAAAGTGTGTGTTTTGTTATCGAGATTGCAAACGTATTGACTGTGGAAATTCTGTGTATTGCAAAGGTTGTATCGAGAAAGAATAAACTAGTTTTAATTAAGAAAGAACTTCTATCCCTGAAGTTTCTCGGAAAGTATTTCTACGGGAAATTAACTAACAAGCAGATACGCAACATAACTATATAATTTTATTAAAACCAGTTCTACAGTTAACAAGAGAACGAGTAATTAATCTCGATGGATAGAATGTCAATGAAGTTTTTCTGTTAACTAGATCAGGCTAACTGAAAAGATTGATCATTGATTGTTTTACAATTTACCTCAAACTAAACCAGGGCTATATACACACATCCATCCATAAATTTTGAACTGAGAGAGTAGAGGGAAGGTACATAATCATAACACTCACCATCAACCCTTAGGTTACTCTTATCTGACCACGAGAAAATGCCTTATTATGATAACATAAAATTCACCTGAAAAAATAAACGATGTTGAGATTTATAGAAATAAAAATGATCCAAGTAAGTATCATAAAAGTATCTGCTCAAAATATTGTTACGTCTCCGTTTGTTAATTGATTTTCCGTAAATTCGTTCCGACGAAACTTTAGCGACACAAGTCCTTACTTAATAAAACTGGTTTATTCTTTCCGAATATAACTTTACGATACACTTATTTTCAACAATCGCGCTAAAACAAACGCTATATCAACGAACGTCAACAATACTTCTGACTGCAGTTCAATTACTCACTATCTACACACACACATTATTATCCCGTCACGTTGTCACCCTCTTTTATATACCAGACCACCCTATATCTAGCAAATGCTAGAGCATTCGCCAAGGTACAGAATAGTTCCAGAAACGTGGCGTCATACCAGTCATGTGACTTTGCTGACGCAACACTGCCCCTTCCTTAGTATTGTTCGTTCCCGAACAATAACCACATACAATAAACCAATAACAATTAACAATAACTTAATTAAATGTACAGAATTACAAACACAAAATTACAATTCAACAAAGTCTCTTAATTTTACTCGACGTATCTTCTTCCGTACTGGTCTCCGTCTTGTTGGCTTCTGCTTCATGTGGAGTTCATCTGCTTCATCATTAAATGTCCTATCATCGGTAACAGTCACATCCGTGGTAGTAACTTCACCAAGAGCTTCACCGTTTTCCTTCTCAAAACTGAGT